GAATATAAATTTATATATTGCATATTGTTGAAAAAACAAAATATAAATCCATTAATTCGGTCAAATTAGTTTTATCGTTGTTTATTTTCCAAATTAATTCAAACTTAGTTTTTTTATTTTTCTTTTCAATGAAGCAGGATAACATAATACAAACTGATCACTAAAACCATGCAAAACAATTGCATATTGATTTGATCAATTTAGTACAAATATTATGTAAACCGAAAGTACTGAAATTAAAGAAAACAAAAACTTAGTCACTGAAAACGAAAGATAGAATTTTGGTGGATCTTGATAAGGAGTGTGCATGGGGTTAGTCAGACCAAATCAGCCCTTTTCTTTTCCAGCCTCTTTATCTCCGCAATAGCCGCCTCAAACTCAGCTATAAATCAAGAATTATTATTACAATTAGTATATCAATTATATAATAGTGGAGTTATAACGTTTGTCTAGTATATATGTACCTTTAGCGGAGTTAAAACGTTGAAACGTAGCAAAGACACGCTCCTCTACCTCCATATGCTCAATTACTAGACATTGATACTCACCACGCAGCATTTCTAGTTGGGAACGTTTCACATTCGCCTGCATCTGTATGTATAACATATTATGAAATTATGTATATTCATGTAGAGGATAATAAGAGTTGAAGTATATAGTACATGTATAAAATAAAAGTATTAGAGTCAATTTATATATATATACTTGGAGCTCCATGGTTTTCTTCTTTAGACTTTCAACATATTGATGCTTCTTCAACTTTGATTTTTGAGCCGAAACACGGTTCGAAATGATTCTGCATACATAATTTCATATGGAGACTCATGAATTTCAATTATGGGTTTTGAAATACTATATAAAATATATCAATTTTGCAAGATGATTTAAAATGAAATATTATGTAAAACCGAACTGTTTGAGTATCATAGGGTCTATGGTGGCAGGGTCAATATCCTGACGTAGTCGAACGGTGAAACCAGGCTCTAGTTCATAGTTGATGTAACCAACTTTCTTCTCTCCGTTTTGGTTACCACCATTGGAAACTTGACCACCATTGGAAACTTGAAACGACGTCGGTACGGCCAAACTTGGTTTAGACATTGAGTTTTTTTTTTTGTTATTAAAACTTCTATAAGGTGAGTGAGTAGTAGTAGTATTGAGTATTGTTTTTATAGTGAGTAAAGGATATGTCAAATACCTTATTTACCTTCCAAATTAAAGCTCGGTATTAAAGGTTAAACAAAATTACATGGCATATTTGACCAATGCATGCATTCTCGCCAGTTGTTCAATATCTTACCAAATTTGTTATTTTAAAAAAATAATTCTCAATATTATTAATATTACACACAATTAACAGTTCAACATATACAAAATGTGAATTGTGCAATGTATTTAGCAAGAAATAAGAGAGAAAAATAATAATTTTCAATAAAACAAAATCAGTTGACTGTTTAGTAAATCTCTTTATGGTTAATTTCATGAACGTTACAGTCTCTTTTTCAAAAATAAAATAAAATTAATAGTCAAGTTTATAAACAGAATATATAAAACGGACAACGAAACGGATTCTCTCTAAACAGAAAAACAACTAAGATTTGTTATTCTTAATTAAGATTAGACCAATTGTGGAGTCATAATACTATTAAAAATAGAGCATAAAATGCAATAAGAAACTCCAAAACTCCAAATGTTATTATTTGTTTATTTAACTATAAAAAAAATTATTCATTAGATTTTCTATATATTGCTGACTTTTTATTTAATAAATGTAGTAATACTATTTTTTACATCAGTGTAGTAAAACTATAAAGAATGCTAATTATATATAGATTTTTAATGCTGC